TTTTTTTTTTTTTTTTTTTTTGGTTTTCCGAGACAGGGTTTCTCTGTAGCTTTGGAAGCTGTCCTGGAACTCACTTTGTAGATCAGGCTGGCCTCGAACTCACAGAGATCCGCCTGCCTCTGCCTCCCGAGTGCTGGGATTAAAGGCGTGCGCCACCACCGCCCGGCGATAAATGGGTGTTTTATTGGAGGATAACTTTTTTTACACAGGTAACAAAGAACCGCTGCGGACTTTCTCTGCCCTTCTGATCAGATCAGAGAGCCCGCGAGAGAGTGCGAGCAAGAGCCCCGCCTCATGCTTCCCTTTTCCGGGTTCATCCACGCCTGAAGTCACGCCCAAAGGGGTGTGGCCACTAACACAAATAACGTGGCTAGGGTAGCTGCTGCTACATACTTCCAAGTGTGCTGACTCACACCTGCGACCCCAGTACTCGGAGGCTGAGGCCGGAAGCCTGAATTCAAGGTCAGTGTGGGCTAACTGGGTAAAATAGTTCCTGGCCAGCTTAGGCTACAGAGGTATTTCACAGTTTATCTCTGAAACATAAGGGCTCTTTTAAAAAGATGATAATGGCCGGGCGTTGGTGGTCTTTAATCCCAGCACTCGGGAGGCAGAGGCAGGCGGATCTCTGTGAGTTTGAGGCCAGCCTGGTCTACAGAGCGAGTTCCAGGACAGCCCCCAAGACAATACAGAGAAACCCTGTCTCGAAAAACCTAAAAAAAAAAAAGATGATAATGGACCAGTGAGATGGATTAGCAGGGGAAGATGCTTGCCTTGCTAGTTCAAGCCAGAGGACCCGAGTTTGATCTCAGGTATCCAAGTGAAGTTGGAAGGAGAGAACCATAACCAACTTCAGAAAAGTGTCCTCTGACGCGCATGGCCTTGCGTGTGCCACGATGCCTGCGACAGTGCCCGAGGGGGAGAGAGAGAGAGAGAGAGAGAGAGAGAGAGAGAGAGAGAGAGAGAGAGAGAGAGAGAGAGAGAGAGAGAGCTCAGTGTTCCAGGCTCTAGCCTGCCTTAGTCTCTAACTACTAGTGCTAGATACATCGGGCGACTCCTATCTCAAAATAACTTACTGTACTCCGGTGACTTTAAAGCAGTCACAGCACAGAAAACTCTCCTCTATGGAAATTGTGCAAATCTTAAAGTGCCTTGGAAAATTTCAGGACCTCTGACAGAATGTCAGCCCTGCCTCCTTCTGCCGGCTGCCACTCAGCCTACCTAGAAGATAACTCTTCCTGTCCCTACCTCGTTCGTTCTCCTTCCTTCATAAGGTCTGTCCTGCCTGTGCCTCAGTGGAACCTAAATGAAGCCAAATACACTCCCCCACAGTGACACATGCCCTGACAATGGTGATTCTGAGGAGGGGTGAGGGGTCAGTCGGGCAACTCAGATGTCCTTGTAGAAGGATGTGACATTTAAGGACAGTGTGGAGGGTCCCCACCCAGACTTTTTAGTAAAGGAGTGAGGCAAAGGACAGATGTCTAACAGCTTAGGAGTTTTCTTAGAGCAAAGAAGTCAATGCTGTAGTTGCAGGAAGGAGTGGGGTGGGGGGTGGAGGAAGAGGAGCAGGTGTGTGTGGAGCAGGTGTGTGTGGGGGAGCAGGTGTGTGGGAGCAGGTGTGTGTGGGGGAGCAGGTGTGTGGGGAGCAGGTGTGTGTGGGGAGCAGGTGTGTGGGGGAGCAGGTGTGTGTGTGGGAGCAGGTGTGTGTGGGGGGAGCAGGTGTGTGTGGGGAGCAGGTGTGTGTGGGGAGCAGGTGTGTGTGGGGGGAGCAGGTGTGTGTGGGGAGCAGGTGTGTGTGGAGGAGCAGGTGTGTGTGGGGAGCAGGTGTGTGTGTGGGAGCAGGTGTGGGGGGAGCAAGGGTGTGTGTGGGAGCAGGTGTGTGGGGAGCAGGTGTGTGTGGAGGAGCAGGTGTGGGGGAGCAGGTGTGTGTGGGGGAGCAGGTGTGTGTGAGGGGGAGCAGGCGTGGGGGAGCAGGTGTGTGTGGGGGGAGCAAGTGTGTGTGGGGGAACAGGTGTGTGTGGGGAGCAGGTGTGTGGGGGAGCAGGTGTGTGTGGGGGAGCAGCTGTGTGTGGGAGCAGGTGTGTGGGGAGCAGGTGTGTGTGGAGGAGCAGGTGTGGGGGAGCAGGTGTGTGTGGGGAGCAGGTGTGTGTGAGGGGAGCAGGCGTGGGGAGCAGGTGTGTGTGGGGGAGCAAGGTGTGTGGGGGAACAGGTGTGTGTGGGGAGCAGGTGTGTGGGGAGCAGGTGTGTGTGGGGGAGCAGGTGTGGGGGGGAAGCAGGTGTGGGGGGAGCAGGTGTGTGTGGAGGAGCAGGTGTGGGGGGGGAGCAGGTGTGTGGGGGGAGCAGATGTGTGTGGGGAGCAGATGTGTGGGGGGAGCAGGTGTGTGGAGGAGCAGGTGTGTGGGGAGCAGGTGTGTGGGGGGGAGCAAGTGTGTGGGGGGGAGCAGGTGTGTGGGGGAGCAGGTGTGTGTGGGGAGCAGGTGTGGGGGAGCAGGTGTGTGTGGAGGAGCAGGTGTGTGAGGAGCAGGTGTGGGGGAGCAAGTGTGTGTGAGCAGGTGTGTGGGGGAGCAGGTGTGTGTGTGGGAGCAGGTGTGTGTGTGGGAGCAGGTGTGTGTGGGGAGCAGGTGTATGGGGGAGCAGGTGTGTGTGGGGAGCAGCTGTGTGTGGGAGCAGGTGTGTGGGGACAGGTGTGTGGAGGAGCAGGTGTGGGGGAGCAGGTGTGTGTGGGGAAGCAGGTGTGTGAGGGGACATGCGTGGGGAGCAGGTGTGTGTGGGGAGCAGGTGTGTGGGGGAACAGGTGTGTGTGGGGGAGCAGGTGTGTGGGGGAGCAGGTGTGTGTGGGGGAGCAGCTGTGGGGGAGCAGGTGTGGGGGAGCAGGTGTGGGGGAGCAGGTGTGTGTGGGGAGCAGGTGTGGGGGGAGCAGATGTGTGGGGGAGCAGATGTGTGGGGGAGCAGGTGTGTGGAGGAGCAGGTGTGTGGGGGAGCAGGTGTGTGGGGGAGCAGGTGTGTGGGGGAGCAGGTGTGTGGGGGAGCAGGTGTGTGGGGGGAGCAGGTGTGGGGGGAGCAGGTGTGTGGATGACATGTGGGGGAGCATGTGTGTGAGAGCAGGTGTGTGGGGGAGCAGGTGTGTGTGTGGGAGCAGGTGTGTGTGGGGAGCATGTGTGTGGGGAGCATGTGTATGGGGGAGCAGGTGTGTGTGGGGAGCAGGTGTGGGGGGAGCAGGTGTGTGAGATAGTGTGTGTGGGGAGCAGGTGTGTGGGGGAGCAGGTGTGTGTGGGGAGCAGGTGTGTGGGGGAGCAGGTGTGTGTGGGAGCAGGTGTGTGGGTGAGCAGGTGTGTGTGGGGAGCAGGTGTGTGTGGGGAGCAGGTGTGTGTGGGGGAGCAGGTGTGTGTGGGGAGCAGGTGTGTGGGGGAGCAGGTGTGTGTGGGGAGCAGGTGTGTGTGGATGAGCAGGTGTGTGGAGGAGCAGGTGTGTGGGGAGCATGTGTGTGGGGGAGCAGGTGTGTGTGGGGAGCAGGTGTGTGTGGGGGAGCAGGTGTGTGTGGGGAGCAGTGTGTAGTGTGTGGGGAGCAGGTGTGTGGGGAGCAGGTGTGTGGGGGAGCAGGTGTGTGTGGAGGAGCAGGTGTGTGGGGAGCAGTATGTGTGGGGACATGTGTGGGGGAGCAGGTGTGTGTGGGGGAGCAGGTGTGTGTGGAGGAGCAGGTGTGTGTGGGGAGCAGGTGTGCGTGGGGAGCAGGTGTGTGTGGGGGAGCAGGTGTGTGTGGGGAGCAGGTGTGTGGGGGAGCAGGTGTGTGTGGGGGAGCAGGTGTGTGGGGGAGCAGGTGTGTGGGGGAGCAGGTGTGTGGGAGCAGGTGTGTGGGAGCAGGTGTGTGGGGGAGCAGGTGTGTGGGGGAGCAGGTGTGTGGGGGAGCAGGTGTGTGTGGAGGAGCAGGTGTGTGTGGGGAGCAGGTGTGTGGGGGAGCAGGTGTGTGGGGGAGCAGGTGTGTGGGGGAGCAGGTGTGTGGGGGGAGCAGGTGTGTGGGGGAGGTGTGGGGAGCAGGTGTGTGGGGGAGCAGGTGTGTGTGGGGAGCAGGTGTGTGGGGGAGCAGGTGTGTGGTGGAGCAGGTGTGTGGGGAGCAGGTGTGTGTGGGGAGCAGGTGTGTGGGGAGCAGGTGTGTGTGGGGAGCAGGTGTGTGGAGGAGCAGGTGTGTGGGGGGAGCAAGTGGGGGGGGAGCAGGTGTGTGTGGGGGAGCAGGTGTGTGGGGAGGAGCAGGTGTGTGGGGAGGAGCAGGTGTGTGGGGAGGAGCAGGTGTGTGGGGGGGAGCAGGTGTGTGGGGGGGAGCAGGTGTGGGGGGGAGCAGGTGTGGGGGGGAGCAGGTGTGGGGGGGCAGGTGTGGGGGGGAGCAGGTGTGGGGGGGAGCAGGTGTGTGTGGGGAGCAGGTGTGGGGGGCAGCAGGTATGGGGGGCAGCAGGTGTGTGGGGAGGAAGAGGTGCCATCTTGAGCTCCATGAGTTGGATCCAAACCTTGATTTTTATTTCCGGGATTGTGAATGTGTTGATGTCAGCCACAAGACACCTCTAGCCCAGGGTGGCAAACAGGCTGACTGCTAGGAACTATCCCAGCTAGAGAAATGTCCAGCTGTTGCTACCTAGGTTTTCTGAAAAGGGATCTGGTACCATCTGAAGTAACTTATTTATTTTATTATTATTTTTTAAGAAATTCTTTTTACTCAAACCAACTGTAAGTTGCCAGAGTCCAGAAGAGTCGCTGTCCACTTGAACTGTACCTGGTTGTGGGCCCATGCAAAGGACCTTTATGGCAGCTGGAATTAGAGTCTAAAAACACAAAGAACTCAAGGCTCCTACCACTATAGGCAGCCCAGGAGACATCAGTGGGACGACAGCTGTTTCGAGGAGAGACCCTGGAAACTGCAGGACAAGCGAGTTTGCTTGTCTCTGCCTAGTACCCCAAAGCCAACTTTCAAAAGAAAGCCCACCCAGATCCAGCCCTTCACCCTCAGCCTGATGTCTCGGGCATCGGTCTCGGCCAGACTCCAGGAACAGTTCCAATGCCACATCTGTCTGTGTGACCTGCAAACTCCAGTCACCACAGAATGTGGACACAACTTCTGTTTTTACTGCCTCCAAACCTATGTGGGTATGCAACCCACGTTCTCTTGTCCTACCTGTCAACACCGATGCCAAGTGATGAACCTCGCAGCCAACGCACAGCTGAGGGACATGATTGAAATGGCCCAGCAGCTCCACAGGCAGACAGGAGACAGAAAAGGTCAGAAGGTGACTACCCGCTGTGCTCATGGGGTGTCGGCCCACTTCTGTGAAGATGATCTGCAGCTGGTGTGTCACCAGTGCGCCGGGCCTGAGAGCCACAATGGGCATCAGGTGACACCCATCGCACAGGCTGCTGCTCACCACAGGGAAAGGTTTCGAGGCATCATCAAGTCCCTGAAGATACAAGTAAAAGAGGTTCAAGAGTTAAGAAGCTTTCAAACCGGGAGAACCCAGGCCTTGAGGGAGCAGGTAGAAGCCCAGAGGCGAGAACTAACCTCTGAATTTGAGCAGCTCAACCGATTTTTGGATCGTGAACAGCAGGCAGCTTTCTCCAGGTTGAAGGATGAGGAGAAGGATATCAAGCAGAGACTGAGCGAAAACATGGTGGCATTAGAAAACTATATTTCCAAACTCAGAGGCCTCGTGGGCCACGTGGTGGCCAGCAGAACGCTCTCGGATGCAGAAATGCTGTCGACAGTCCAGGATTTCTACAAGAGCTCCAAGAGTCTAAGGAAACCTGCCATCTTCTCTGCTCAGTTAAGAAGAGAAGCCTACAACTTTCCTCTCCAGTATTCAGCTCTACAAAAAGTGATACAGCAATTTACAGTTAATGTAATTCTAGACCCGGAATCGGCCCATCCCCAACTGCTTGTTTCTGAGGATAAAAAGTGTGTCACATTGCTAAAGAAAAAGCAACATATTCCTGGCTCTTTTAAAAGGTTTACCAGCAGCCCTGTTGTGTTGGGGTATCCATATTTTAGTTCTGGGAGACATTTCTGGGAGGTGAAGGTAGGAGAGAAGCCTGAATGGGCTATTGGCATCTGCAAAGCCAATCTGTTTACTGGGGCAAGGTGGTCCTCTGTCCCTCAGGGATGCTGGAGGATTGTCTGGCAGGGTGACTGCTTTGATGTCTCAGGAGCTGATCCAAACTTTCAGCAGAAGGCCACAAGAGCCAGCTGCATTGGCGTTTTCCTGGACTATGAGCTGGGAGAGGTTTCCTTCTATAGCATGCCTGAGAAGTCTCACATCTGTACCTTCAGGGACACCTTTACCGAGCCTGTCTGCCCTTACTTCTACCTAGGACTCCATTCAGAACCTCTTACACTCTGTTCTGCGACAGATTCCAGGTGGCCTTTACTCTAACAGGTTTGTTCAAATTCCATTCTCCCTTGTCCCCCAGCCCAGGTTGTTAAATAGCTGAGGACAACTTGGAATTTGTGCTGCTTTAGACCACACCTTCTGATTGCTAGGATTGTGGGTGTGAGTGGCTGTAACCAACATTCTTTTTACTTTTTTCGAGGCAACTTCTTGCACATGTAGCCCTGATTGGTCTGGAACTTGGTACGCTGACCACTGTCGGCAATCCTATCTCAGCTTCCTGTACTCTGGGTTTGCAGGCATGGATCAACACATCAGGCAACAGATGCATCTTTAAACTTCTGAGTCTCACATCTGAAAAAGGTTTTGCTGCTAAACCCCATGCCTAGCACATGTACTTGTTAAACCCCATTGAGCTATGTACCTGAGCGTTTTCATCCTTGAGACAGTCTTGGTGAGTCAACCAGGCTAGCCTTAACTAACTCTGCAGCTCCTTCTGGCTAGCATTACCAGTTCAACCCACCTCAGAAAGTGCTACGAGTTTTAAGAATGTATTTACTTATTTTACATCTGAGAGGGTCTCATGTAGCCGGGGCTAGCCTCAGACTTGACACATAGCAGAGGCTGACCTTGGATTCCTGGTTGTCTAGCCTGTCTCACTAATGTCCAGTCTTTGAAATTTGTACTTACAGATACCTTAGTTTCCTTATAATCTCAGAAACATCTTAAATATTAGTAAAGAATATTACCGTCCTTTTCTCTCCCCCCTTCTGCCCTCCTCCTTTCCTTCTCTCCTCCCCTCTCTCTTCTGTGTCCAGTGCTATGAAAGTTCTGTGTACTGAGCTAACATCAGCCCTGTTTGATGTAGTCTTGTAAAATTGTCCAGGCTAACCCTGAATTTGATATTCTCACCCCCCCCCCAAGTAGCTGGGATAGCTGACACATGCCTTTATGCCTTGCTACATTTTTAGGTATGTTTTTAACAATTAGTGTGTATGTGTACAGACAGACAGACAGACAGACAGGCAGGCTATGGTTGAGGGTGTGGAGGTCAAGACACACCTCTTTCATCACATGTCCGGGGGTTGCATTCAGCATTTAGGTAATCAGGTTTGCAGAGAGGAGGCAACAAGGGAGAGGAAGGGACTGATAAATCACTGCTAAGTCACAGCTGGAGCAAAGGAAAAATACCCTTTGCTATTGCAAAGTGGGGTGACTGTAGACAATGATGATGCACTTTATATTTCAAAAAGCTGTAGGAAAGCATTGGGGTGTTGTCGCCTGAAAGGGAGACAAACATTTGAAAAGGTATTGGTACCTGATAGTTAAACACCACACATGTATCCATGTTGGGGTGTGACAAGGTTCCTGGTAATGTACTGTTTTTATCCATTAAATTTAATTTTAATAAAAAAATGACTGTGTAAATGATTGTCCCTCAGGGTTTGGAGCTCCCACTCTTGCCTTCTCATAGTTTTTTACTTAATTTTTTTTAAAAAATGTATATAAGTGTTCTACCTGCATGTATACCTTTGTGCCAGAAGAGGGCATCAGATCCCACTATAGATGGTTGTGGGAATTGAACTCAGGACCTCTGCAAGAGTAGCCTAGTGCTCTTAACTGCTGAGCTATCTCTCCAGCCCCCTTCACTTAATTCTTAAACATCCAGGTGGCTCCCGACTGTCTTTCTGCACTTAGGAGGCGGAAGCAGCAGAATCTGGTTCTTTGCTTCTGGGGGCTGGGGTGATTGATAGTGGCTTTTCCCACTCCCTGCTTCTGCCTCCTAAATGCTGGGATTACAGGCAGGTGCTACCATTCCCTGCTGTATGCACTGGGAAGGACAGATCCCAGGGCCTCGTGTACACTAGGCAAGCAGCCTACTAACAGCTGTTTCTCAGGTCCAGAAGTGAACTTCCGTTCATTAAAATTACACTTAAATGTTTATGGGTGGGCACTTGTGCCATGACAGTCAAGTGAGGGACACGGGACAACTTGTTGGAATTAGTTTTCTCCCTAAACCTTGGGGTTCCAGGGATTTAACTCTAGTTCCAGGGAATCAGACGCCCTCTTCTGGCCTCTGGAGGGATAGGCATGCCCAGGTGCACACATGTACTTAATATGCAGGCAAAACCACTCATATACATAAAAATACTCTTCCTCATTCAATAAAGGACCCCAGAGTATCCCCAACAATGTCATTAGTAGCAACACTCATGTACACTGGTGTTTTAGTCTGGATCTGCTCTTTGCCCCCAAAGGCCCAAGCAGTAACGGCTTTGTCTCCAGCTTGGTATTGTCAAGAGGCTAGGACCTTTATATGGGCAGAGGTGAATAAGTCACAGTTTTCTGTTAGCACACAACAATATCTTTTGTTTCAGACTTTCCTCTGACTATATAGTTGAGGACGATCCAGGCTTTCCTCTGACTATGTAGTTGAGGACAATCCAAATTCTCAATTCTCCACACACTTGACATTGCAGGCCACAAAGCTAGGTTAACAGAGTATTTAGTTAGGACTTGTTTTTGAGACGGGGTCTCACTCAGATCTACAGCAGTCCTGCTTCAGCTTCCTGGATGCTGCGATTACCAAAATGAGCCACCGTGTCGTGCCCAGCTCTCTGGGAGTTTCTCTTTGGCTACAAAAGACTTCTTTTGATTTCCCTGTATGTGGCCATGCCTGTGTTTAGGTATCTGCATGTGCCAGACCAGAAGAGGGTGTGAGATCCCAGATTACATGATGGTTCACAGGTGGTGCAATAGGCAGTTGGGAACCACCTGACATGCGTGCTGAGCACTGTTCACAGCGTGGAGGGTGAGCATGCCCACATTCGGAGGAGGCTATGGTTTTGGCCATGGCTGATTATGTGGTGCTGGGGTAGAATCCAAGTCTGAGGTTGAATACTCTGGGCAAACACTATGCCCGTGAGCTGTAGACCCAACACTAAGGCTGCAGGTGGTTCTCAATATTGAGATGGGGTATCGTGTAGCCCCAGCTGACCTTGAAACCCATGTGTAGTCCAGACAGCCCTGAGTTTGATCCTCCTGTCTTCACTTCCCAAGTGCTAGGATTATAGGCAGAGCTAGCGCTCCGGGATTTACGGCTGCAGTTTTAGAGGGGCTTCCTCATTAAGGGACACAAAGGAAATAAAGAATATGTGAGTTTCCCATTCTAGGCAAAGGGGAACCGGGTATGAAGGCCCTGAGGCGACAACGTGCTTGGCAGTCCATACCACGGGAGCATGGTCAAAGCAGTGCCAACAGAGAACCAGGAGAAACGGAGGGGTAGGGAAGAGTTGTTGTTTCCTAAGGACTTTCCCTGCCATGGCCTAATGTGTGGTTTAGATCTCTGGGGCAGGACAGATGGCTCAGTGGTTAAAGGGTCCTGGCTGCCCTTCTAGAGGATCCAGGTTCGATTCCTAGCAACACCATGGTGACCCCACCCTCAGTAACTCCAGTTATTACATGCTCTCTCTGGCTTCTCAGGCAGCAGATACGCACATGGTACACACACATACAGCGGGCAAAACACCCATACACGTAACATTCATTTACAAAAAGCAAAGCTCTGACCACCGAGTTAAAACAAGTGTTTAGGGAGTAGAGAGCTGAGGTGATCAGAATCGGATAACCTGGGGCTGCAGTGATGGCTCAGTGGTCACCAGCGATGGAGGCTTCTCCAGAGGAGCTGGGTTTCATCCAGATTACATGATGGCTCACAGCCACCTGTAATCCCAGTTCTAGGTGACCTGATACTCTCTTCTGCTCTCCGTGGGCACCAGGCGCACACACCACACAGGCATATGAAATTAAAAACCTATTTAAAAGAAGAATACAATTTAATGAAAAAGAATGTATTTTAAGGAATTTTATTCTGTGCAGGAGCACTAAGTCCAACAATTGTATTAAAGCCATTAAATTAAAAATAAGCATGTTAAAGATTTACCAAAAAAATCAATCCAAGAGTAAAGGGGCTGGAGACGGAGCTCAGTGGTGTTCCATAACGTGGACAATGATGGGGATGCCTGTGATCCCTCAACTTGGGAGGTGAAGGTAGAAGGCTCAGAAGTTCAAGGTCATTCTTGGGCACATAGGGAATTTGAGGCCAGCCTGGGCTTCCTGAGACCTTACCTCAAGAAACAACAAATAACAAGATTATCCCAGGAGGAGGATTTGAACTAAGGATTTGGGATGCATGGCACAAGAGCATATGATAGGTTACAGATCTGGGGTAGGCAACGATTTCATTAATAGTCAAAAGAAATGGCAGCCTGGGTATGGGAACTGAACTCTGTCTTCCACAAGCTCTGTACGCATACCTAACTACTAAGTCATCTTTCCAGCCCCTGGAAACTGTTTAAGTACAATGTGGCTTTTAGAATGCCCCAGCAATGGCTGTATCCAAGGAAACAGGAGTTTACTATCCACAAGCAAGAGTTTGCAGATAGAATGAACAGTCCTTGCCTGTCAGGCTGCATTCATCATATCCCTATATAATTACGTTTGGCTCTGCAAATAAAATATTGAGTATGAGGCTAAAGACTGCAGTCTGCAAACAGAGATCTCACTCCTAAGCCCTCAGTGAAGAGTCGTTCTAGGTTAGGCACAGAGACCCGACTCCGTGATCTCGCCAACCGGGAGGTGGAAGAGCACCCAAGGCCACCCTAGCCACACGAGCTCCTATCTCGAAAGCCAAAGACTGTCTAAGGTGATGCAGAAAGTACCAACTGATTAAAAGGAGCTCTAGGAGACATGGAGAAGCAGTGCCACATGAAACACTTCATTCTCATGGCAAGAATCATCTGTTTAATAACACCTATACAGAAATGACCTGCCATTTCAATCCCATCACAATTTTGATCTATAATCCAAGACCAAACACTATCTTTTTCCTATTTAGACAATGAAAAAAATGTAGTACTGTGTGTCTTTGTGTGTGACATGACATGTGTCAGTGCACACACAAGAATGCCATGTTTCAGGAGTTGATATCTCCCCCACCAGATGTTCCTGGGACCACACTCAAGTCATCAGGCTTACATAGCACTTTCCCTACTGAGCCATCTCACCAGCTCTACTTGCCCGAATTGTAACCCACAGATGGTCTTACTCTGATATGTAAACACATTTTATTTTTTGTGGTTTTTTGTGGGGAGGGGGTGCAGGATTTCTTTGTAGCTCTGGCTGGCCTGACACTCACTATTTGGACCAGGTTAGCCCTGAACTTCTGTGTCTGCCTCCCAAGTACTAGGACGACAGGCGTGGGCCACCATGCTCAGTTAATAAAACTTATTTATTAAATCAAAGTAGAACAGAGAGATATATGGCAACTCCTTGAAGAAGGGCAGAAACAAAGAGAAAATGACAGATTACTTCTAAATCCCTCAATGCTTGCCAGTGCAAGGTCACTGTGTGATAGGAGCCAGCACTTCAGCACGTGGTCTCCCGTTGCCCAGGAACTGTTTGCATTTTATTTCTCAACAACACATTGCAGGACTGGTGCAGCGTTATGTCCTCATGAGATGGGTCCTATAATGAGGACACTTTTGCGTTTCTGAGCAAGGTCTCATTCTATGGCCTGGGCCATGGGCTGCCCTCAAGCTAGTGGTTATCCTCCTGCCTCAGCTTTTCAGGGGCTGGGATTACAGGTGTGAGTCACCATGACTGGCTGAAGGAAGGTCTGTGTAAAAGCTGACTCAGTGGCAGTGTTTACTTAGTATGTGTGAGGCATCTGCGCTTATTCCCCAGCGCTGGAAAACAAACAAACAAGACCCAAAGTATGTGACCTTTTCTCTCAACCAGTGTGCTCACATCCGTCTAAAATGCCCGTGAGCCTCTTCGGAAGCAAGCATCAAGCACAAGAAGGAATGCCTTCTCTAGCAGTTTCACTGTGGCAAGAACGCACTGGTTTTAGAACCCCGTTTACAGCAGATTGTCACGGACACTTGCTTTACAAAGAGCCAGATTAGTCCAGGGTTCTTAAGCGATAACTTGGATTCCGGAAAAGTCAAGAAATTAAATTGTTTCAAACTATATAAAACCACCTCAAGTTTTCCAGCCTTTTCCAGCCACCCACGTTCCCAGCACACACTGTGAAGGTGGCTGCGTTTCCCGTGGAGTCGGCAAATGGGCAGTCTGGAGTTCCTGTGGACTCAATAGGTGTCATGGCCAGCTGTCATGTCCTCGCTGCCTGAGAGGCCAGGTCCAACACCCGCTTACTCAACAGGGCGTTGTGTCGCTTCAGGTACGCTATTACATCTCCTTGCTTCTCCACAATTTCTTCTAGGCTTGACACAGTCCTGCAGAAATCAGGATACAAACAGGTTACACTAAGTCACAGACATTCTTTGGTGTCATTTCAAATGAGTCCTCAGGGATGCTCAGTAAGGCACCCTGTTCTATACACCAGGGATACTCCAAAGTCACCTTCGTGAACGAACTTAGTGACTTTACACTCTGGAAACCAACCTATTTGTACATGTTGCCTTTATTTTTACCAATTTTTAGGCTTTTGGTTTTTTGCCCAGAAAAGTTGTTAAAGTTTTTATAATTTAAACTGGGTGATGGTGGTGGTGGTAAACACCTTTAATTCCAGTACTTGGGAGGCAGAGGCAGGGGAAATCTGAGTTTGAAGTCAGAATGGTCTACAGAGCAAATTCCAGGATAGCAAGGGCAATATAAACATTTTCTTGAAAAAAAAGTTTTTATAATTTAAAGTCAACCCATGAGCCAGGCGATGGTGGCACAGTCTTTAATTCTAGTACTCCAAAGCAGTTGGATCTCTGAGTTCCTTGGCAGTCAGGGTTACACAGAGAAACACTGTCTTGAAGAAACAAAAACAAACAAACAAGGAAAGAGAGAGAGAAGAAAGGAAGGAGGAAGTGATGGAGGGGGAGGGAGGGAAGGAGGGAGGGAGGTACCAGGGATGAACCCCAGATTCATACATCAGGCCTCTGACTACATACATTCTCAGCCTTTATAAAAACCTACTAAAAATTATTTTGGGTCAAGATTTTGCTAAGTTGTCCTGGCTAGGGATCCACCCTGCCTACTTGGAGGCATCCCAAATAGATAGAATCACAGGCACATACCATCAGCACCTACAAGGAAAAAGTTCATTCTTTCTGATTTTTCACTGTTCAAGCCTCACCTGAAGCCGGTCTCTGAGGCCATATTGCTGGGGTGAGCATAAATTTTTTCTTCTTCAAGTACATCAGGCTGCGGTTTGGCTCGATTGAATCTCCTAATTCTCACTGAAATAATAAAATCATTTTTAATCAAATTACCTATTTCTGAAGAAATTCTTATATTCATTTATTCAAGTTATACTAATAGTTACTCTTTTAGCATAGATAATATATATGAAATTGCATAATGAGTAAACAGTTTGAATACAATTGTTTATCAGAGTCTACTAAGCAAGGATTAGTCTTAGGGAATGTCAAGTTTATTATTAGTAACAAAATAACAATAATAGCAATAGCTGACATTTACAACAGCACATCTTGAATGACCTCCATGGATGACCTCCTTCTGTTCTCATGACACCATGAAGTACACATTTTTTATTCTTGAGACAGGGTCTCACTATGTAGACAAGGCTCAAAGAGACTCATGTGGGTCTGCCCTCCACCTATTGAGATTAAATGCACGTGCCCTTAGGCCTGGCCTTTGTTTTTAATTTACATGCCAAATTTACATGCAGGGCCCAGCTTGCTGACTTGCTTATAATCCCAGAGCTTGGAAGGCAGAGGCAGGGAGTTGACTATAAATTCAGGGTCATTCTGATTGCTTTATAGCAGTAGTTTTCAAGGTGTGGGTGATGACCCCCTTGGAGGTTGAATGACCCTTACACAGGGGTCATGTATCAGATATCCTACATATCAGATATTTACATTAAAATTCATAACATACTAAAATTACAGTTATGAAGTAGCAAGGAAAATAATTTCATGGTTGGGGTCACCACAGCATAAGGAACTATATTAAAGGGTCACAGCATTACAAAGGTTGAGAATCACTGCCTTATAGGAAACAAGCTTGTTGAAGTGTGTGTGTAAGGGTATGTGCCTGTGCTTTCAGGACCCCAGAGGCCCTGGATCCCCTGGAGTGGAGTTACTGGCAGTTGTGAGCCACCTGACATAATTAAGAGCAGTAAGTACTCTTAACCGCTGAGCCACCTCTCCAACTCAAAGGTCCCCCAAATCTATGAATGACACAGATGTCGAGAATTGACTCATTGGCAGTGGTTGTCTCTTCTGTTACTCTGAAAGGGCAGAAGCCTGGAAGTGGTCAGCAGTGAAAGAGGGGTGCTAAAGGAGTCCTCAGCTAAGGGGGGAAGGGGCTTTCCCCTCAAGTAACAGGCTGTGCTTCCCAGTGAGCAGGAGCGAGGCAGGCAGAGGTCACAGGACAGCGGCTTCCACACTCACCTGTGTACAGCATCAGACAGCTCAGGGAGAAGATCAGCTCCAGGGCCAGGACGGCCAGAATCAGCTCCAGGTACAGCTTGCTGGGCTCAGGGAAAGAATGCTGCACACAGAGGAGGAGGAGGAGGGCTGTGTTGCCTGAGGGAGGAAGGGAAACAGACAGGGATGGGATGCTGGTCTTCAGTCAGCACAAAGTTCCTTTGGTTTGTTGTTCAGAATGTGATCTATCTATCCATCCATCTATTTATTTATCTATCTATCTGTCTATATCTATCTACCTACCTACCTATCTATCTATCTATCTATCTATCTATCTATCTATCTATCTATCTATCTATCTCTATATCTATCTATCTCTATCTATCGCTATCTCTATCTATCTATCTACACCTATCTATTATCTACCTATCTATCTGTCTATCATCTACCTGTCTATCATCCATCCATCCATCTATAACCCTTGTGATTTATATAACATAATCTTAAGATCAAGACTGTTTATGCTATTAAGGGTGGGCTCTGCATAGCCTATGCATGGGCCAAGTCACCAGCACGATCAGCAATCGGAGGGTTGGAACCTCTACCCCACTGTCCCTATTTGGGGACGCTCAAGAGGTTGGAAATCTAAATTCTTTAAAAAAAAAATCTGGAGGACTGGCCATATAGCTTGGCCTAAAATGCTTCCCCAACATGGATGACAGCGTGGGCTCAATCCTAGAACCACATAAAATCAAGGATCAGACCTGTAACCTTGGAATTCAAAAGGTAGAGGCAAGAGCATGAATCCTACATTGCAAGTTTGAGACCATCCTACACAAGACCTCATCTATAAAAACTAAGGAGTTAAAGTTTAGCTCAGTGGCAGGATGTTTGTCTGGGAAGTTTGAAGCCTTAGGCTTGACTCCTAGCACCAAAAACAAACAACAACAACAACCCCCCAAAAATCTGATGTTGTAGAATCATCTTTTTGTACACTGATTGGTTTAAAGAAAAGCTGAACGGCCAATAGCTAGGCAGGATTTCCACCAGGCACAGAGGACCCTGGGAAGAAGGGTGGAGACACCAGGGACACAGAGCAAGCAGCATGGGCATTACAAAGTAAAGGTAACCAACCAAGCCACGTAAAAGAACATAGATTAAAAGACATGGGTTAATTTAAGTGATAAGAGCTAGTTAGAAACAAGCCTAAGCTATCGGCCAAGCTTTCATCATGTCATGATTTGGGAGCTAGGTGGCCAGACAGAGAAAGACTTGCTACAATCTGACCTTATCTTAAAACTAAGGAATGATTTCTTGGCTTTATAGAAGTATTAAACTGACTTCTTTTGGTTCTTCTGCACATGTGAAAAAATACTATTTGCTGAGATAGGGTCTCAACACAGTGTAGGCTGACCTTGAATTCATCAACTATTCCCTGGACTCAGCCTCCTGGAGGCCCAGGTTGTATCATACCTAGCTTAAAGTCAGATTTTAAGAAGGTAAAGGCCAAATACTTTCTTCATGAATTTCGAAACTCTTATTTCCAGATTTTGAAACAAGCAAACATTTCTAGATCATTACTTGAGAGTATTCTTTACTCTTGTCCCATACTTATATGAAGTAGTTCAAAGGTTTCTGATCTATTCTAGTGTTCCGGTGACATCTTCTGGCGGCACGTGGCTACACATCAGTTAGAACTCAGTCACCCCCAGGAGAGTCCAGGAAGAATAACCTCTAAGCTCTGGCCCAGGTCCAGTCAAGGTGACCCATTCTACAGCGTACTCCGCTGAAGTGTATCCCTTGAGCCTCCACTAAGACCTCTAGTGATTGGATGAGCTTGTAGCTTACCCTTTGCAACAGTTCTCCATCTGTGGGTCAAGAACTCTTCGGCAAACCTCTGTCTCCAAAAACATTCACATTACGATTCATAACAGTAGCAAAATTACAGTTAGGCAGTAGCAACAAAAGCAATTTCATGGTGGGGGGGTCACCACAACATGAGAAACTGTATTAAAGGGTCCCAGCATTAGGAAGGTTGAGAACCACTGATTAAGGTAATGCATTAATAGAATATAGAAGAAAATTCATTTTTTTAAATAGATAAGGTCTCATGTAGCCCATGCTGGCTTCAAACTTGTTATAAACTCCAGGTCCTCCTGCCTTCACCACCTTGTCTAATCCTCAGAAATATAAAACAGCAGCAGCATCCTTCCTCCTTAAGCAAGTCAGCTGGCTGATACCAAAAAGGTGGAATATTCTACTTGTGAAAAGGGTTACACTGGCCTCACATCCACAGAAAATAGAAAGTTAAGGCTCTAATGCCCAACATGGTGGAACAAAGCTTGTAATCCTAGCACTTACTTGAGAAGCAGAGACAGAAGGATTGTCATTAGTTAGAGGCTAGGCTGATTGAAAAGAGAGTTCTAGGAGTGCCAGCCTTCAAGACACAGTGAGATTCTATCTCAAAACAACAAAGACTGTGTAAGAAAAGCTTCAAGAGGTGGGTGGGACATAGCTCACTAGGAGAGTCTTACCTAGCACACCCAAAGCTTTGGGTTCAATCCCTCTTCCCTCCAAAAGAAAAATTCAGGATTGGGGCTACAACACACACACACACACACACACACACACACACACACACACACACACACACACACCATCACATATGGCTGTTCTTCCAGAGGACACAGCTCACAACTGTCTGTAACTCCAGTTCCAGGGGATCTGACACCTTCACACCAATGCACATAAAATAAATAAGTTAAATAAATTAAAAAAGAACATATTTGATTGTAAAATCTAATTCATATGTCTTTCTTTTATCACCTCTGGCAGTCAGCCGGAAGAGCAGCTGAGAGCTGCAGGGCTTACCAGAAGAGTGGATCATGAGGGCAAAGGTCTTGAGATGCCTTGTAGACCGGTAGATCTGCGAATAGCCGCGGCTTCTGACTTTGCTGTGGTGATACTGAATGTAGCGTTCAAGAAGCAAATGCAGAATCCACAGGATAACTTTTCCGAGGACTATGACTGTCTGAACCTTCAGTGGGCTGGTGTACTTTTCTGGGCACTTGTCTTCATTCGGATTAGGGTACAAACACAGCACACCTGTTAAAAATGCTAAAATAACAAATACAACCTGTGGAAAGAAAAGCAGTAGGATTCATGGTAAATATGTAGGCTGCGGTCAGGGCCAGTGGGATGGCTCAGTGGGTAAAGGCACCTGTCACCAAGACTGACAACCCGAGTTTGACTCCGGGGACCTACAAGGTAGAAGGAGAGAAATGACTCCTGCAAGCTGTCCTGACTTCTACGTGTTCTGTGACACACATATCTGCGTGCACACCAAGTGTGAGTGTGCACACTCACACATCAATGTAATAACAAAATTAACATAAACTACCATATCCTAAAAGGCTCTATGACTGACGCTACCCTACTCTTACAAGTGATTTTTTTTTTTTTTTTTGGTTTTTCAAGACAGGGTTTCTCTGTGGCTTTGGAGGCTGTCCTGGAACTCACTTGGTAGTCCAGGCTGGTCTCGAACTCACAGAGATTCGCCTGCCTCTGCCTCCCGAGTGCTGGGATTAAAGGCGTGAGCCACCAACGCCCGGCTCTTACAAGTGATTTTAAAATGTTTTGCCAAAAGGATTCTGAAAAATGCTTTTGTGGGAGCAGGCACAGAGTCATATGCCTGTCATACTAACACTCAGGAGGATGGAAAATCTGAGGTCAGCCTGGGCTAATATAGGGAGATTACATGTCAAACTTGAAAAAGAAAAATGCAAGAACACAGACAAAATCACAAGTAAGAAAATAAAATCACCCCAAACCCCACTTTAGGAGATGACCACTTAATGTTGACGTTTTATGCCTTTCTCTTTTATTAAAACAAAGGTATAAAAAGAGTTGATTATATCAAAAGCAATAAGGACCAGAGAGATGGCTTAGCAGCAAAGAGTACACAAATCATTTTGGCAGAGGATGTGGGTTTAGTCCCAGCACCTATGTCAAGCCCCAGGTGATCAGATACTCTCTTCAGGCCACCAAGGACATCTGCATTCCTCCTCCCCACATAATTAAAAATAAAACAAAATTTAAGAGCTAATAAAATTATGTGCAGAAGCAGGTAGATCTCTGAGTTCTACAAATTGAGACCTTGACTTTAACAAAAGAAGCATTCCACGTGTATGTGCAAATGCTTGAAGACATTCTCACCCACTGGCCCACAAGCTAGCCTCTACTGACGTGGACAGAGGTCCATAACACAGAGAAATGAGGATGCTGTGGGGCAGTGCTTCTCAGAGGTGACATGGGACATCAGTCAGCAGAACTCTGGCTTGCTAGAAGTGTGCACTCTTCAACCACACTGCTCCCTTGGAGCTGGTCTCTTGGGGCACAGTCTACCTTCTAGTGAGGTCTGATAAGTGGGGAACTTAGAAAAGGAGGGATAGAGTATTAAAATTAAATATATATTAATTAAAATGAACATGGATCTGCATATATGCTAATGAATGAATTAGCACATGAACTTAACAAAAGGTGAAGGTCTTACTATGCAGCTCACATTGACTTCTAACTTTGCTCTTCCTGCCTCTGCCTGCTAATTATCGACATTATAGGCATGTTTGTTTTTCTGAGACAAGCTCTCAATATACAGCCCTGACTGGCCTGAACTTGATGTCTCAGGCTGGCCTTGAACTCACAGAGACTGCCTGCCTCTGCCTTCCAAGGTTATAGACATGTACTACCAATCCTGGCTGTATGTATGTATTTATTGTGCTTGTGTGTGCATGCTTTGCTAAGGCATGGATGTGGACACCGGAGGACAATTTTTCCAGAGTGGATTCTCTCCTTCTACCCTGTTTGGAGGCAGTGTTTCTATTCATGGAGCAGCTAGGCTGGAATGCAGGAGGAGAAACAGCAGTACTCAGGATACAAGGGACTTCAGGATTTCTTAATATGACAATCACACCTGCACAAGGAAAGTCCTTGCACACGCTCAAACATCTCTACAATAAATTCTTGGAAGTATGAGCAAAAATTTTTACAAAAATATATACATTTTAAAAACTGATTTACAACTCAAATATCCCCCGAGAGTTTATATTCTGTGTGTGTGTGTGCACACACACACACACGCTCACATGCACACACACGGGCGATCACATGTGTATGCACATGCGGGGGTCAGAGGACAATGCAGGTACTGGTCTTTGAGAGATGTCTACCTTGTCATTTTGCTTTGGAGATGGAGTCCCGCAGGAGGGTCTGGGGCCAGCCAGAGAGTCCCAGGCATCCTCCTGCCTCCACCTCCCCATTGTTGGGAGTGAGGTCCTCCACACGCATGTTCTGGTGGAACCCAGGTCCTGAAGATGACTGGGTCATCTCGCGACCTCCACACTGTGCTTTTAGAGCCACCAGCTCTACCGTGAACTCACATGTATAAGCAACAGAAGATTCGCTATGATGACCGTGGGAAGAGGATGGAATCTGGGTCTAAAGTGGGCATGTAAGGAGAGCTGTGGGAGAGGCTGGGCATCCAGGAGTGGGTCATCATCCGTACTTTGAAGAAGATCCAAGGAACCCTGTGAGGCAGAAACACACAGTTACAGCCAAGACTTTCTGGGTCATGTTGCTCTCTCTCTCTCTCTCTCTCTCTCTCTCTCTCTCTCTGTTTTTCAAGACAGGGTTTCTCGATGTAGCCCTGGCTGTCCTGGAACTCACTCTGTAGACCAGGCTGTCCTTGAACTCACAGGGATCTGTCTGACCGTGCCTCCTGAGTGCTAGCATTAGAGGTATGCACCACCATGACTGGTTCTGGATAATGTTTATTTTTTCCAAGGCCTTCCTATTTATCCACCTTTCCTGGTAGACTATATTGGATTTATCAGTTCCCCACCTCTTACTTGTCTGTCTTAGGGACACACGCAGCAAACACTGGTGCATGGATCAATGTATGTTCCACATGTGTCTTTGCAGGCTTCCACAACTCACTCAAGGGCATCAATCGCTCATCAGGAGAAGCAGTAACGACACTTGGAGGCAGGACCAACTCTATCCAGAGGTTTTAAGAGTTGTGGCTCTGGGAGGGTCCCCAAGTTAAACTGAGACAAAATTCAAGTCCTATTGCTTACTGACTGTAAGTCACTTCACGTCTCTATTCCTGTTTCCTCATCTTGGTTTCTTTTTCAAGACTTATTTTTTGTGTATGTGTGTATGCGTACCACATGCATGAAGCTACCCAATGAGCCCAGAAGAGGGTGTCAGAACCCCTGGAGCTGGAGTTAGAGAACACTGTGAGGCAGCAGGAGTTGTGGGTGTTGGGAATCGAATCTGGGTCCTCTGCAAAACCATATGAACTTTTAACCAACAAGTAACCTCTCCAGCCTCATAGCCTCCTCTTAAAAAAAGCTAGTAATAATAGCACCTGTGCCCAGTCTTTGGTACGAAGAATAGATGAGTTACTACATAAAAACTACTTTGTAGCCGGGCGTTGGTGGCGCACGCCTTTAATCCCAGCACTCGGGAGGCAGAGGCAGGCGGATCTCTGTGAGTTCGAGGCCAGCCTGGTCTACAGAGCGAGTTCCAGGACAGCCTCCAAAGCCACAGAGAAACCCTGTCTCGAAAAACCAAAAAAAACCAAACTACTTTGTACAACACCAAGGATGGAGGTTTTTTTGTTTTTTTAGATGTAGCCCCGGCTGTCCCAGCACTCTGTAGATAGGGCTGGCCTCCAACTCAGGGATCTGCCTGCCTCTGCTACCCAAGTGCTGGGATTAAAGGTGTATGCCTTTTTTTCTTTTTTTAAAATTGAGATAACCCTGTTTGTCTGAAACTCACTATGCAGACCAGAATCGCTTTGAACTCACATGGACCCACCTCCTTCTGCCTCCCAAGTATTGGGATTAAAGATGGGCACCACTACGTCTCATCTTTTTTTTTTTCCCTTTTGGAGAAAGGATCTCAAAATGTATAGAAGGCTAGTCTTGAGCCCAAGATCTCCCCAACTTTGTCTCCTGGGATCCGGGGTTTGATTATTAACTAGTTAATTTGTGGCACTGAGGACAGAGCTAAGCCTCCCGTGTTAGGCCAATGCTATTTTTCAATACATCCCAGTCCTCCAGTAACCCATGTTACTATCCTGTTCTTCATATGAACGCCTGTGTAGCATGCCTACCATTCATCCTACCATGTCTTAACCCAGGCTCTCAGCATTTCTCTTAGTCTTCTGCCAGAACCTTCGGTATCCTGGCATTGGGAATTTTCCTCACTGCTGCCACGAGTTTATGTTTACCCTCACAAAACCTGCATCTCCCCATTCCCCTCGGGGCAGAGCTTCAACTCTTCATCAGGCTAGTTGTACCATGGAAGAACACTGCTCTCCTTTTCCAGCTTACCCATCACTCTTCCTCTTCCTCATGCCCTGAGCTCTCAGGAAACCTCTTGGATCTCAGAAACACTCCTACTTTCTCTTCCCTACCCACCATGCCCATCACAACTAACCCCAGCCTCTTCTCCCTGACTCATTCCCAGCTTGCCATCTAACAAGTTCAGTTGGGTCAACTTCAAGCTTTTGAACATGTAGAAAAGCTTTCTCTTTGCTATTTCTAGCTATTTCTTTGTTGTTTCTGAATCAGTTTCAACCCACTCATCATTAGTCTCATTTTTAATCTTCTTACAAGTCTGATTTTTTTAAATTATTGTTTTCCAAACCTAGGACCTCATGCATGTGAAGCGGATGTTCTAACACCAAGCTACATCCTCACAACCCACAGTTATTCCTTCATTTCCTCCATGAACTCCCTACAGCCTCGCAAGGCCAAGGGTGACCTTGAGCTTATGGTTCTCCTGCGCTTACCTCCTCAGTGCTGGGTTTACAGATGTATGCTGCCATGCTTGGCTTATGTGATGCTAAGGACTGAGTTCGGAGCTGTGTGCAAGTTACCCAAATAAGATCTCTACCAAGTAGGCACAACCCATTTCCACTTCTCTTTACATATTTTCCCCTTTCCCTCACTTGGTCTGAACAAAAGATGGTTTGTCCAACCTACTCTCCACGAGAAGTACAAAGGAAAGACAGACACTAGGTAAGGTGACAGCCCTGTGGTCACCCCCGTGTAGACTCTACAATGACTCCTATCACTTTAGGCACTCTGAGCTGCTCTTGTTTGGGTCCTTGCAGAGGCCTGGGTGTTAATTCACCCAAATCTTCACCAAGTCCTTGTCTTTGTAAATGAGCCATTAGTTCACCAACTCATTTTTGTGTCTGGGCTTGCAACAAGCCCACATATGTAGCTTACTAAATGCGCATCTTGCTATCTACAAAATGCCAAAAACAGGCAACCTACTCAGGTCCATAGTAATTCCGCTACTTAACTGTTGGCGAAATAACCATCACTGTTGTTTGTTGAAAGAGGTATCCAGGGTTGTATTCCTGAAATTTACATATCCAAGAAGGACTCCAGAGCAGCTTAGCACCAACCAAGAAACACTTACTGCTTATGTTTTCCTAAACCATTCATTTTCCTCTTAGGTATTTCTTCCTTCCATAACTGCCAGTCCATGAAATCTGTCTTAAATTTTCAAAAAAAAAAAAGGACTTTTCTTTAAATATGAGTCTTAAGTTTCCACGTATTAGTCAGTTTTCCATTTTCTCAATATTGAAAAATATTGATAATTGAAAAATAAAACTAGATTTATTTTTTTAAGTCTTACTGTTAGAAACATGTTTATTTCATCAAGAAAATTTAACTAGCTAGGTGTGGTGGGGTACTCCAGTTATCCCAGTACAAACGAGGGTGAGTCAGGGAATAGTTCGGTAAATCTGAGGCCAGGCTAGGCTACATAATGAGTACCAGGCCAGCTAGGGCTGCATAGAAAGTCTAAAATAAATAAAATAAATGACTGCAGAAACCACACACACAAGACTCAAACCTCTGATAGTTCTGAAATTTCGCTTTTCTGGATGTACTTTAGGACTAAGACCACAGTAATCTTATTAGTTAATTATCTTGGCTCTGTGTGCTAACGTTTAATGTAAGACTTGCATGTTTCCTCCAGAAGTGTCTTTCCCTGCCCCAATTCCAAATCAACATTTAATCATAATGTCTTAATAGACTTTTCAAACACACGATTTTTGTAATTTTATTATCATTCTATACTGGCTACAGCGTGAACTGGGTCACCGGGTCCTTCAACAAAAATTAAATTTGCATCTATCTAAGGTTAAAACATCGTTCTGTTCCCACCATGACTACATTCAAAACAGCACATGATACTGTTTTTCTCCAATCTGGGTCTCCGGGAGATGGGAGCTACAGGTCTTCCCGAGGGATGTTGGAGTTCAGCCCCGCACCACGGTCACTCCAGGTCCCGGGTCCTCTCTCCAGCCACCGCAAGAGAGCCCACGGGAACCGGGTCACCGGGGCAAGCCAGGCGTGCCCCGCCTGTCACTCTCAGGAAGGATTGTCAGGCCAGCACGCATCACGTGAAGCTCCCAGTTCCGGAACCAAAGACGCGCGCGGCACGTGAGCCGCCGACTGAAGGAAGGGACCCTCGCGCCCGCCCTGCCGCGTCCCTCCGACTTCCATCCGGAAAGGCACCCGGGCCCACGGTTCCGGCCCGGAGGTCACCCCGCACCCAGCGTCCCCTCTGGTCCAGGCCGCGGCGGCTCTGGGTAGCTCCCCGGCCCGCAGTCTCCGCCCCCTGAGCCCAGCACAGGAAGCGGGGATGGCGGGGACAGGGCTCGGCGCCTCACTCACGTCCTCCAGCCTGCCGCCCGCCGCCATGACCCGCCGTCGCGGCCCGATGCCCCGCCAGCCTGACCTCTCCGCCAGCGCCCGGGCGCCGACCGCCCGGGACAGTCGCACCTTCTCCGACCTGCGCGCCCCCGCCCCGGACACACCCACTCCTGCGCCTGCCCCGCCCCGTCCGCCCAAGACCACGCCCCTCTACCTAGATCAACCGATCAGCTAGCAGCCTGGGGCGTGACCCTCCTCCCCGCCAGACCTGTCTGTGTGTGTGTGTGTGTGTGTGTGTGTGTGTGTGTGTGTGTGTGTGTGTGTGTGTGTGTGTGTGTGTGTGTGTGTGTGTGTGTGTGTCTGTGTGTCTGTGTGTCTGTGTGTCTGTGTGTCTGTGTGTCTGTGTGTCTGTGTGTCTGTGTGTGTCTGTGTGTCTGTGTCTGTGTGTCTGTGTGTCTGTGTGTGTCTGTGTGTCTGTGTGTGTCTGTGTGTCTGTGTGTCTGTGTGTGTCTGTGTCTGTGTGTGTGTGTGTGTGTCCCCCTCCCTGCCAGACTCTGTCCCCGCCAGACTCTGTGTGTGTGTGTGTGTGACCCTCTCTGCCAGACTCTGTGTGTGTGTCCCTAAACCACTGCTTGATCTGTTTACCAATTTCTGTGTGTGTGTGTGTGTGTCCCTAAACCGTTGCTTGATCTGTTTACCAATTTCTAGTGCAACCGTTTGAACATTTTCGGCAACTCCTTCTCTTTTAAAACATCAACTTATTTCCGTTGCACTGCTTTAGTTGCAGCAATAGCTCTACATTTGGAAAAAAGACGCAGCAAAAATCGTAACTGCACCCGTAGAGAGACAGGACTAGAATAAAGATTCCAGCTCCTATAACACGATTTACAGATGTCTCCACAGAGAAGCAAGGCAGTTAGATATGTTAGGGGTTTTGTTTCTGTCCTCCCCACCCCCACCCCCGTGCCCCAGTCTTTTTGAGATGGGTTCTCTCTAAATAATCCTGGCTGTCCTAGAACTCACTATGTAGACCAGACTGGCCTTGAACTCTCAGAGCATCGCCTGTCTCTGTCTCCCGAGTGCTCTGATTAAAGACTTGTGCCACCACACTCGGCCCAAAGATTGAGTCAGTTTTTCTTCTGCCTGTGAGCACCAGGCTTGGTAGCAAGGGCCATGTGCCAGCCCTCAATTTTTCATGAGACCCAAGTCTCATGTTACTCATGGTGACCTAGAAGTTGATGTGTGATGAAACTGGCCTTGAATTCCTGGTCCTCCGGCCTTTGCCCACTGAAACGTGTGCGCCATCACACCTGATGAGTTGTTCTGTTTTATATTCAAAGTATTTCTTTTTAAATTGTTTTTGTTTTATGTGTATGTGTTTTACTTGCGTGTGTATCTGCGCACCATATGTGTGCCTGTTGCCCAGGGAGGCCAGAAGAGGGCACTGGATCGCCTGGCACTGGAGTTCAAGACAGTCATGAGCTGCCACGTGAGTGCTGGGAACCAAACCCAGGTCTTCTGGGTTAGTGCATTTCAGTGTTGAGCCAATCACGCAGTCTGAGTTTTAGTTGTATATTAAATCAAACAGGGCACCTGGGTGTGGTGGACACGTCTTTAATCCTAGGACTTAGTGGAAGCAGGAAGGTCGTGAGTTCAAGGCCAGGCTTTGCTTTATAACCAAGCCTGGGTTACATGAGGCTATTTCATGAAGAAATAAACAGGGATGTGAGGAAAAGTCCTCAAGGACTGGGGGAAGAAGACTTGGAGGGCAAAGGTGACATTGAAGCCAAGCAGACTGGATCTCAAGGACAGTGACTAGACTTGTCCATTGGAAAGGATGCCTTTCCGCATGTCCTGGGACAGCTAGCTGAAGCATGTTGCTTCCTTTTCGCCCTCTGCAGCCCCTCTGCAGGCACTGCAAAGGAACAACCCTGAAAACCTCAACGCATTTTCCCGTATGTACCACGCAGTTTTAATTGGTTTCTACTCTTAGGGGGGAAAAAGCTTTTACTGGCATCCACTAATTATACATAATAGTAGGCTTTGTTATGACATTTTCACACATGTGTATAAGATACTCTGGTCAAATGCAGCGCCCATGCCCTCTTGTCCCCTCCCACTGACTCCATTCCTTTCCCCAAGCAGTTCCATCTCTGCTTTCATGTCTGTGATGCAGTGTGTGTGTGTGTGTGGTGAGTACGTGTGATGCAATGAGTTTAGGATTACATACTTACAGTAGCATGTGTCGCTTACCAATCCCTTCATTCCTAAAAGACTCTCTCTCCTTTACTTTTATTCTTTTGTTTTGTCTTTATTCAAGACAGGGTTTCCCTGTGTACCCCTGACTGTCCTGGATTCACTCTGTAGACCAGGCTGGCCTCAGACTCACAGAGATTCACCTGCTTCTGCCTCTCTAGTGCAGGGACTAAAGGCATGCACCACCACCACCCAGCTCTGGCTTTATTCTTTACTGAGTAAGAATAAGGGAAGTTGGAGCATAGTGTGGTTTAGCAGGTAAAGATGCAGGCTTTGCTAGCCTGACCTGATGACTTGAGTTCAATCCGCGAAACCCATGTCAAGGTAGCAGGAGAGAACCTACTCTGCCTTGTTATCCTCGGACCTCCATATATAACCATGCTGTGGGTACTCCCACCCACAAAATAATAACAAATAAGGTAAAACTTAAATACATCTCAAAAATAAGAAAACTTAAAGTCAGAGATCTAACTTAGCTGTCAGAGTTTTTCTTTTGTTTTTGGAGGCAGAGTCTTGTGCAGCCCAGGCTGGCCTCCAATTCGTTGTGCAGCCAGAGCTGACCGTGCCCTCCTCCTAATCCTCCTACTTCATCGCCCAAGTGCTAAGACTGCAGACCTGGGCCATGACCTCCAGTTTAGATGCGAGCTTTTAATGTGTATTTGTTTGTTTGTCCGTTTTTTGTTTTTGTTTGCAGTAATAGTTACTTCCTGCAGTCACTAAGAGTGTCATGGTTATGTCTTGTCCTCGTGACTGAATGCTGCATCATGTACCATACAGCTTAGCAGTGAGCTCACAACAGGTTGGGCTCAAAGAGAAATGAGGGCAGAGGTATAGCTATGAGAGACTCCTGGGATACATGGGAGGCGGAAGGCTGATTTCCAGAAAGCTATGAGAAGGACAAAAGGAGAGAATAAGGAACAGAAAAGGGCACTTGTGCAGGATGAGAACTTTCTCCAGTGTGAAAGAACAGATCGGAAAGGCTCAGGGGCAACCACCCACGACATGAGCTCCCATTCCCTGTGTTTCCGTCCTTCCTTATTGCCATCTCTCTCTCTTTTCTTTTTCTTCCTTCTTTTCTTTGTGTGTGTGTGTGCGCGCGCGTGGTCAAGACAAGGTTTCTCTGTGTAGCCCTGCTGTCTTGGAACTTGTTCTGTAGACCAGGCTGGCCTTAAACTCAGAGATCTACCTGCTTCTGCCTCCTGATTAAAGGCATGCGCCATCACTGCATGACATCTTTCTCTTTCTTTGTCATCTTCTCTATTTCTGTTTTACTTTTCTTTTTCAAACGGAGTCCCATGAAGTCTAGCTTGGCCTTGAGTTTGCTATGCAGTTTCGAGGATGACCTTGGCCTCCAGATGTTCCTGTTTCAATCACCCAAGTGCTGGGATTCTAGGCATGAGGCACTGGGCCAGCTTATTGTAGAATCCATTACTATCTGTACTTGTTATTATTACTGGGTGTGTGCACTCATGGATCTGTGAAAGCATGGGTGTGCGCATGATGTGTAAGAGAACAACTTACGCGCCTTTTCTTCTTTCACCCGGGGTTCCAGCGGCCAAATGCAGGCCATCAGCTTGCATGGCAAGTGCTTTTACTGGCCTAGGGTCTCGTCAGCTGTGTCTTACAGTTTTGAGGGCTCCTTTTATTTTCAGCACATGTTTCTTATCAATCTTCCCTCCTTCCAGGGCGAGCCACTGCTGAGGGAACAACCTTGGAATTTGTGATCCAGCACCTTCCTTCTCTGTAAAATGGACAAGATGATATTTCTAAGGGGATGGTGAGGGCTTAAGATGTAAACTAGTGGTAGATGCTTACCTCACAGCCTTGAGGTAGTGTGGCTTCAATCTCCAACACTGAAAAAAGAAATCTCTTCCTTTGTATAGAATTGCCACACTTGAGGAACTCATGAAATTCTGGCTTCCTTCCTGTTCCCCAACACCCAAGTCTCTGCACTTCTGCATATTATATACTGCTAGGGAGGGGTGCAGGTGCACGCAGGCTCTATGTGGGCACCCAGCCCTGCAGAGTGCAATTAGGTACTTAGTAAAGGCCTTTTGATTAAGTTCAGTATCACCCTAAGCAGGCAAACACCAGTCTACTCAATCCCCCTGATTAGACGATTTTCCCCGGCAGAAGTTCAGATGGTGCCGGTGCTAAATTCAGCTCATTGCTTTAGCAAATGGCATAATGAAGCTTGGATTCATCTCTCCTTGAGATGGGGTGATCATCCTCACACCTGTCTCGTCTCACAGCTCTGCCTCTATGCTCTTGGACAGTCGATGTGCTGGGAATCTGAGATCCAGCCCTTTGGTCAATGTATAGGTACTTTGCCTTGTTTCGGGGACAGAATGTCAAGAAAAAGCAATTTAAGGAAGGAAGGGTTGAGGCTCACAGTTCATGTGCATTGTCCATTATGGCAGGGTACTCAACAGCAGGAGTTCCAGGGAGCCCGTTAAACTGTCTCCAGTCAGAAAGCACCGGGTGATGGAGCTGGTGCTGATGTTACAGGGATGGAGCTGAGGTCACAGGGATGGAGCCGGTGCTGATGTCACAGGGATGGAGCTGAGGTCACAGGGATGGAGCTGGTGCTGATGTTACAGGGATGGAGCTGGTCCTGAGGTCACAGTGATGGAGCTGAGGTCACAGTGATGGAGCTGAGGTCACAGTGATGGAGCTGAGGTCACAGGGATGGAGCTGAGGTCACAGGGATGGAGCTGAGGTCACAGGGATGGAGCTGAGGTCACAGGGTTGAAGCTGGTCCTGAGGTCACAGGGATGGAGCTGGTCCTGAGGTCACAGGGATGGAGCTGGTCCTGAGGTCACAGGGATGGAGCTGGTCCTGAGGTCACAGGGATGGAGCTGGTCCTGAGGTCACAGGGATGGAGCTGGTCCTGAGGTCACATGGGGTCATTG